ACCAGCATGGGACTAGGGGCGGCAGGTGTTGGGTTGTTGGCCACCATCGTGGCCGCACCTATAGTGCTGGGCATTGAAATAACAGCTGGGGTTGTAGGGGTGGTAGGGTTGGTGTTTAAGTTTTCATCCTGCAGACTGCATCGTAAAGCGTTGAAACACGACGAGATCAGGGTTCTGGCCAAAGCAAAGCTGAACACCGTAAGTGAGCGTATTTCAACGGCACTCACTGACAGTAAGATCTCAGAGGAGGAATTTCGTTTAATCCTCTCTGAACTCGATACGTGTACCGTAAGATGAAACAAGATATCCGGTCCAAGTCTCGTAAGTCTGCTTTCAGCGAAGACGAGAATAAAAAGTACATAGAACAAGGGGTACGAAAAGCCCAGCAAGCCTTTATTACGAACACCTTAGAGATCATAGGCGATTCACATTAAACTGTTTCATTGAGGTCAACACGACATAGTGTCACATGATCAGGAAAGTGCTGGTTCGCGGTCATAGTGACCAGGAAGTTAACTGGGGATTCAAAAGTAGTATATACAATGGCGGCGAGATCTAAGGGCCTAACAAAAGCTTTATTTATGAAATAAAGCTTTATTTATGAAATAAAGCTTTACAGCAACCTTTCTTGGAATTGATCTCGGACAATCATTGTATATACTACTCAATCACATGACCCGCATCGTGTTTGAAAGGTATAACAACATGTGTTCATTTTCAGTCAGGTGCTTGTGGTTTGCAATTAAATATTTTTCTACAAGTTTGAAATCAAATCATACTTTAGAAATGAAACATACAACTTTAAGGATGACAACTTCTTTTTTATTGCATAGAGTGATGTTTTGATGTAGATTCTTACATCGTTATAAAGCTAAAAGTGAATACAACCAGATGTAGAGGGATAAATATACACAGTATTTAACGTCGCTCTATGTAATAAATAAGAATTTGTCATCCATAAGTTGTATGTTTCATTTTTGAGTCACCAACTTCTAGAATGTCCATCAAACATACTTTAGAAGCTGATTCCACGTGGAACTATTTTTCGAACACTTCTTTTTTTCAAATGCTTTACAGCAAAAGTAACATTTTGTCATTTGAAAAATGGAACAAACGCTGAATTCAGCTTGATCGTTTTGACTGGTGTGGTGTCGAACTTGTTGTTTATGAGTATCGGACGAAGGTTGTATTAAATTGTTATTTTGTAAAAGTCGAAGAAGGGAAATATTAGAAATCAGTCATTTTGCATTTTGTAATGAAATTTTATAAAGCCTTTTTACGTGCTCACATTTACTCCTGGAAGTATATTTACTTATGGAGTAAATTAACTTACAGGAGTAAAGGTATATTTACTTTCTGTTCACATGGATATTTAACCAATAGGAGTATATCTGATTTGCATGCCACGTAGACATCTGGTTTTGAAGATGTTTGGTCAATTGACACCAGGGCTGGAACATCTGAGTGCTATCCATGATCAAGGTACTTCCGTCCACAATGTCCCAGTCCACCCAGCTGTAAAATGGATACCCATGAGACATGACAAAGTGAGCCATTAGTTCTCTGAGCACTTAGCACACAGCGAGGCTGTATGGTCCCCAAGGAGTTGAGAAAGCATCGGAAGGTACAATGGTGTCCAATGATAAGGATAGTAATGTACGTAGCACCTTGTGCATGCATGAGGAACGGGTATGACATATACGCGACTATTACGTACTGATGTGCGATATGTTATGCATGAAACGTGATAGATATGCATCATAACCTCTTACGGGTCACGTGGTATCGCCGGTCTTGGTTGTTGTGTGACCGAGCTCTGCAATTCGAGCTGACTACAGCAATAAGTGCCACGTTTAAACGAACTTTGTACATACATCATACTTCAAGGACAACCCAAGAACCGTCTGGCTGGAAATGGGCATTCCCGTTGAGCTTTGGAGGTGCAGAATCGGGATATTCTGTCCGTGCGGGAGGCGACCGACACGTAAACATCACGGTATAGCGATACTTGCAGGTACCCGTTTGTGCTTTAGGATTGCACTGCTCTTTCTGACACTGCTGCTTGTATCAGGGGATGTGGAATCCAACCCAGGACCAGGACCAGGGCAACGAGGTGGTGGACAAACTCGACTATAACACTGCAAGCTATCAAATCAGAGCTTACCTCCCTCAACAATAAATTTGATTTGTTCACATCCGAGTTCAACAAGAAGTTAGTTTCACTATCCGAGGAAAATACTGTCTTGAAGAAGAAGTTGGAAACTATGGACTCATAAATTGATACTCTAGAAGCATAGTCTAGGCGAAATAACCTACTGTTTCATGGCATTAAAGGAAAACAGGGTGAAACATAGGAGGAGTGTGAAAATAATGTCAGAGACTTTGTGAAAGATGTTTTGAAGATTGATCCAGCTGATATATCATTTGAAAGAGCGCCTCGTCTCCCATCAAAGTCGGGAATCAAACCCGTCATTGTGAAATTCACCTTCTTCAAAGACAAGAGTTTTGATCTTGGCACAGGTAAGAAAATACTAAAGGGCCATAAAATGTTTCGGGTTTCGGATGATTTTACTGAACGTGTACGCAGAATGAGATCCCAATTATTCCCATTTATGCAGTAGGCTAGAGATGAAGGGAAGACCGCTTTTCTGAGTTATGATAAACTGATCATCAGTGGTGACGGTTTTGTTTCTGAAAGTGATACTGGTGACGTGCGTAGGATTGGCAAACGTCGTCATTGGGTACCAAGGCAAACCACTCCCTCAAAAACATCACAAATGGAAGAACAGTGTGCTACGTCGACGGAATAGGATCGCGGCACTGGCCCCAATTTAGCCCAACAGTTTTTTTCAGACATTCTGACTGTACCATGTTGTAAGGAAAGTTTAACATACATGGCTTAAAATCTAAGGTACTTTGTGCCGACTTTGGGTTTTTTCTGAAAACAATTGACATATTTTCAATGATTGAAACAATGTGTATTGATGCTTTAAAGCTATATGATTTGAAGGCTATTTTTGATGGTTATGATATCTTTATCAGTGATGCACGAAGACTTGAACTACGAGGGAGATTCTCGGGGGGGGGGAGGAATCAATAAGTCTATATCTTCATTTATCAGGAGGGTGTATGCTACATGGAAAAACTGTATCCTTTTCCAGATAAATTCAAATCCAATGTTGTCCCAGGTAATCCTAGGTTTTGTTTACATCCACCCAGAGAGGTCCCCTGTATATAATCACTCTGATGACAGTGGAATTAGCTCCCTTGAAAATCAGTTGCTTCATATATACCATGACTTTGGTGACAACTGTAAATTGATATTATGCGGCGGCTTTAATGCTCGCAAGGCAGCAGAGAGGGATTATATTATCGATGATGATACAGACTACCTACCAATACATGACCAGTATGTTGTGGACACGTTTTCACTTACACGTTAATCACCTGATCCTGTGGTAAATAATTATGGAAGACAACTTTTAGAAGTGTGTAAAACGATGTGTGTTCATATTGTAAACGGTCGAAAGGAAAACGATATTGATGGAATGTTTACGTATGTATCGCCGTCAGGAACCAGTGTAATAGACTACTTCCTTGTGTCAACTTCTTTGTTCCAATTAGTAGTTTCGATGGATGTGATGTCCATAACTGAGACAGATCATTTTCCCATTGTGTGTCGACTTAGCAACATATTACCAAGAGAACGAAATTACAGACCAATGTTCCATTTGCTTTATATGATGTACCAAAATATAAATTACTTAAAGAACAGAAATCAAATGAAATTTGAAATTAAATGAGTGAGTGAGCCGCCTCTTACGACAAGCATAGTACTCTTTTGTGGCAATCATGGGTTGCTGAAGACCTATTCTACGCCGGATCTTCACGGGTCTCTTAAAATAAACTCCTGAAACTGATAACTTAATGCTAGGGTTACACCATGTTCCCGGCGGCCACGGTAGCCCCGGCAGCCCCGTTTCGCCGAAACGTCATGAAACGGGGACAAAACGGGATTTACGTGAGACAACGTAGGGAGACTGACAGTCCGTGATTGCCGTGGATGCCGTGCCAGATTTTCAAACTGTTCAAGATTTTGCCACGGCAGTCACGTTGCTAATGAGAAACCTAGTAGGCTGTTAATGAGAAACCTAGTCGGCTGTAGTAAAACGGAATCAAAACGTGACAGTACGTATAGGCTGTAACAAAACTTGCAGACGGTTCGTAGTGGGACGGGAGGCATGTGTTACCCCGGCATCTCACGGTCCTTTCAAGTTTTGTCACGTTCGTCCCCGTTTGTTTGGCGTTTGGTCACGGTTTTTCACCCTTGCTGCCTATGTTGTCCCGGTTCTCACGGCAAGCCAGGCTGTATGGTTGCCGATTCGTCCCGTTCGACGAATCCAGGCTTGTGGCCGTTTACAGGGCCAGCGACCACGTTGCGTTCTCTGGCATTCCCTCTCTTCAGCTGATGCTGGCCTTCTTGTTGACGCAAGGACTCGATGTATGCCCCCAGCATACATACAAACACAAAATCTTCTTCATCTTGGGGGTTCATGCTGCTCTTGTCTCTCGGGATACAATGGCTGCAATTGCTTGGGTGGCCTTATTTTTATACCGGGGGCACAAACGTGCTCCAAATCCGACCGTAGAACGTTTTAACAGAACGCGAAAAACTTGTCAAAACCTTGATTAAAACGTGAGAAACGTGACGGAACCCATCAGAACGCGACAGCCAGGGAGGAAAAACGTAATGGCACCCTGTATGTAGAAACCTACCTGATATATATATATCGGGGAGGTGTGTCATCCTGGTAGTTATAAAGCATTCGCTCATCAACATATGTGTTATTTATTATGTTTGTGCATCCTACTGTCGCATCACTTGACATGCAATTAGCACTAAGCTCCGTATGCACCGCTGGTGAGGTGGTTTCTTCAGGCAGGTGAGAGAACGTCAGTGCTAGGCACGAAGGCCATGAGAAGGTATAGCGTTTTACGAAATGGCGAAACCGTAAGTGTTATCCGATCTTCTGACACACTCCAAATAACCAATTGAAATGTATATTATGTCAACCCTATTACTGATGAAGACTATACGTGTTTGAATACGTGTTTGCTTTATAACGATGTTTGCTTTATAACGATGTTAGAACCTACACCGACGTCGCTCACACTGTAATAAAGTTTGTAAGAATTATTACTACACAGTAACATTTACAGGTAAGATACCTGATTCATATTACATTCAGTTCCAAAGATAAAACAAAATAAGACATGTTGTACTGTAAATCACATTTACTTGTTATTCAACATGGAAGTCACGATACAATAAAACTCCGTTGTTTCAATTTTAAGGTGATAAACAAACTTGCATTGAATTATTTTTCTTCAGATACAGTTTTGCAATTACTTAGATATGTTGATACATTGGGCCGACCCCTATAACCATGTCGCTGATAAACAATGTAGTAATGTTAGGTTTTAGCGGAATCCTGGGTGTATCCTGTCCCACTTGTTCTTTATCTTTATCACTAATCTTGAGTCTTTCGTATTTGATAGGGGTGGGTATTGCAGAGAATTTTCAAATTGCGATATATTGCGATTCGAAAGCATATATTGCGATACGTATTGCAATATGTTGCAAGAATAATTTTTTCAACAAAACTTACTTATAATCGAGTTAATGCTTGATTTATAAAGCAAAAACACAACAAAATCACTATGCTTGATTAAACTTTAATAAAAACTTTTAATCATGTTAAAATGAAGGAAACATGGAAAATATCAACACAGCGGTTACTTGTTTGAACTAGTTTCTCCACTATCAAAAAAGCCCCGAGATTTTAGACAGCAACTTGACCTGGTCAGGACATATCAGGGATCACTGGTCAATAATGAGTAAATATATATATAACATTCAGATCCAAAACATTGCGAAACACTTGAACAAAAATTAAGAACACAACTTCAAACCGAACTTAACTCGATTTTCGGTGTGAAAAACGGAAATATCCGAAGATTTCCGAGTGTTACGAAGTTTTCCGAATGCATGTCGAAAAACCGGTTTTCGATCCGGGTATCGCAATACGTATCGATTTCATGTCTGAACCGGTAAATACCGGTAAACCGGTAATATTGCGCAGCCCTAGTATTTGATGAATAATGGCCAGGTATTATAAATATAAACGATGATGGTGTACATATGTGTCTGCAGTTACTTTTGCTTTATTCTGACACTGATGTTCAACTGAGCGATGAACTTGATAGCGTCAATAGATGCTGTTGAGAGCAGAAACTACGTACATCTCTCTGAAACTAAAATCGTTGTTTTTTAACAAGGCGTGCAAAGAACACAAGCTCAAACATACCATTTACTCTTTAGCAAGGACCTATATGAAACGTCGTCATATGATTATGCAATTCACTGCATTGAAACTTTCATTGCGAAGCACGACGTTAAAGGTCACGTTTCACAACAGTTGTTGGCGATCTATACCCCAATGATTGTATTGTCTTCTTTTAAAGATATATGCTAGCTAGTTTTAACTCTATCTGTGCTAATCTATTGTTTTTACTTCCTTCGTTGACAGGGTTTCTTAATCGCTAGTCCTTGGCAATATGTTCTTATCATAAACACCTGTCTCGTGAGTACCCAGTATGGTTGGGAAGTTCCATGATAATCACACACAGGGCATTAATGCAAATTGATCCAACACTCCTCCTTGTCGCCATAGCAACAGTCTTGAACATGTAATATGTGTTTGTTTAACTTTTGAAAGGGCAACTGATCCAGAGTCATTAATTATTTTTATTCAGCTGACCGATGCTCCCCCGACCGTGACCAGGCGCGCAGCAAGCCATTTTTTTCGTTTAAGCCCGATAGGGTGCGAATCTTCACATTTAGATTGTTTGGAGGGCTTGCCCAACATTCATTTTTTATGAGACCTGAGGTGTTATCGTTTGACGTTTGATGATTTCAATTACTTCAAAATTTTGTATCTTTATCGATATTTTGAAATCATAAGAAGAAGAACTTAGAGTGTTCTACCAATAATTCAGACAGAAACATCATTTGAAATGTGACTTTTTAAAACATTTTTTACGTATGTTTATTGCACTGATACAATAGCATGAATTGAGTATTTGTTTTTTCAAAATGAAATCATAAACAAATGAAAAACAAACAAAGATAACAATCATCACTGACTGACTGAGTTTAGTTTTACGCCGCTTTTAGCAATATTCCAGCAACATCACAGCGGGGGACACCAGAAATAGGCTTCACACATTGTACCCATGTTGGGATTCGAACCCGGGTCTTCGGCGTGACGAGCCAACGCTTTAACTACTAGGCTAGCCCACCGCCCCCACCACTGCAAAGAGACCGTTCAAATCTAGGATATGAAAAATACCATGTCTACTGTACATGGTGACTTTATTGGTTATGCTTTGTTGTCAAAGAATATTATGGTCAATATGATTCACAGAGGGATTAACATTTTTTCAATTGTTCTGATAAGGTGTTTGTAGGTATTTTTGGCAAGACTTACAAAATAAATGTTGGTTTTTTTAGCAAAAATCATGTGTAAGCCCGGACCTTTAACAATGGTAGCTACGCCCCTCGTGACGGACAGGGAGACTGGGCAGCTGTCCTCCTTGACAAAATTTCTTCAACCTAATCAATGACACAATAAGAACGGTGGATGCTCAAAAGATACCGTTACATGAAAATATCCCGGAAGTTCTAGTCTGATTGTAATAAAGTATCCCGGCAGTAGCTGTTCTTAGGATTGTAAGCTTGATCTTGTCCAAGTCCAAGGCCTGGTATGGTGATCTACCTTCTGGTGTTGGCGATCTATAGCCTGTTTTTATATTGTATTGTCCAAATAGTGCTATTAGTTTTAACTCTCCACACTAGTTTTAGTTGTAATTGTGATATTCTAGTTGTTTTACTGTCCTTCGTCGACAGGTTTTTATAACGTACATATATTCCATTTCAATGTCAAATGTTCTCATTTCACTTTTTATTGTATAAATTGTTATCGTCACGATATGGCTGCGATATTGCCGATGTGACGTTAAATATTAACTCACTCACTCACTCACTCCTCCAAGTCCAAGGCAACCTCAATGGACAAAGGTACCAAAATCAGATCCTTGAAAAAGAAGTCGTACCTCATTTTGACAATCGCCCGCTTGCAAGCCGTCCCATTTTCATGGATCCCATACTGTAGGGATTACTTTCAAGGTAACGCCATTGACACTCTTCCAAGTGCAGACCTGAATCCCATTGAACATTTATGGGACATTTGAGTCCGTAAGGTGCGAGCTAGGGTCCCTGGTGTTCAAAATCTTGCAGAACTTGCACAGGCGCTCCAAGAGGTATTGAACAATATTCCTCAAATGCAAATCACAAGACTGATTTCCAACATGAGGCGGCGTGTTGAAACTTGTAGCCGTGCGAGAGGGGGTTATACCCGATACTGACAGACATTTGTGTGTACAACGACAGATCATACCATGATTTGCAAGTCGTTTCATCACCTCTGTGCTAAGGAACAATTGACTGGTTATTTTGCAGGAGCATGCTTTCTACGCTACTGAATTTGTTTTAAAAATACCACCATTGGAATGTTGCTAATAAGATGTGAAATATTCGATTCATGTCTTCATTTTTCATCTGTATTACCCTTTAACTGTCGTACAAATACAGATTTCACATTTTTACTGCACTTAATGTGGCAACTATTTTTTAACAGTAATGTTCATCTCAACTATGACAGAAAATTCTGGTGGTGCTTAACTTTTGAGCGATTGTATATAATTCAAATCCAAACCACATACTAGTAACCTGAAAAACAACCCATAAAACAAATGCTAACAAAAACACCCCGTTGTTCAGCTCCCCCTACCACTCTGGCAAATTTCCAAATTTAAAAGTAGTCATCCGTGAAATTATATCAATGGAAATTGTTTACACTAAACATTATAAAAATACGCCATGTGTTATATGTCGACGTGGGGTACAAAATACAAGCAGGAGAAGAAGAACATTATTTTATTAATGTGTCAGACATTGTAAAAATGTACAAGCAAACAGTTAAAAACATGATAAAGATATGTACCTTACAATGACCAGCCAGTTGGCCTATGAGACACACATACAGTTCGCTAAAATATCAACTGCACATATAAAATAAAAAAGCAGCACATAATCGAATTGTTTCCAATGCATAATGCATGCAACTAAACATACTTGAAAATGTCTGCATGGCAATTATTGAATGGAAATATGGATGCTATATATTACAGATACATACTTGAAGTGTGGCTTTGGGGTGACGAGCGGGGACATTCAGCTAAGAAAATGTACCCCATCTTCAACAGTATTACTTTCACATAGCTTACAGACTTGATGAAGGACTTCACCTGGCTTACTCCCATCGCTGTACTGTCCAGCAGTACATCACCATCAACAAAACAAACCTCAAATTTCAGATTGTGTCCAACAACGTACCTTGCACATACACTGTAGGTTTTATAGACAAGCTCAAACCCACCAAGTGTGTAGGAAACCTACCCTGAAAAGACGAACTTACCAACTATGCATATACCTGGCCTGTACATACAAACATGCCTTCTGAGTACAGTGGTACTTTGTATGTACAAACTCGTCCTCTATGTACAAACTCGTCCCCTATGTACAAACTCATCCTCTATGTACAAATTCGTCCTCTATGTACAAACTCGTCCTCTATGTACAAACTTGAAAGTGCGCTGTATGTACAAATCCAACATGCATGGATATAACCTGCCTGGTAACGTTACGCACGATTATAATATCATATATGAAGATGAAGGCGGCATCTATACAGATGTTGGTATCATCTAGTAGATGGGGAACAAAGATAAAATATATTGTGTTTTCTCATGGGTTTGGGTTTGTTTGGATAAGCCAAGATATATACATGTTTATGCAGCAGTCAAAGTTTGTCTGATACTTTGTTTCAG